TTTTTTTTTTTTTTGAGCCAGTCCATGGGGGAACACAGGTTTTGGTAGCACGTGTAATAGAGAGTGTGGGTCTTTCTGGAAGGTCTTGATTTCTATTAGTCCCTCATGAGAGAGTTTTCTTCTTAACTCTTATGTGATGTCAAACTTCTTCATTGTCTTCATACATCCTTGGGTCTTGCTTTGAGCTGCTCGTATGGCCTACATGATCCTAGTGCTAGAGAAATCTGAAGACCCTCTACTTGAATTTGAGTTAAATACTGAGAGTCTCCACTCTTTAGTAGGGGAAGTCTTCGTCAGTGTGGGTTGGGTTGTTTCCCATCCCTCTCCACTTCCCCTCTCAAGCTTTAGGACATTAACTTGATCTGATCCCTCAGCTCATTTCATGGTCGTATGTTGAAGAAGACTAACCACTTAAGGGACCATAAATACATTAATTCTTTTTATTTATATGTAGTCTTTTGAGCTACTATTGCTTAGGCTATAGCTGCTTGTCTGTCTCCTTCCAGGGAGAGTGTGTTTAGAGAGCGAGGCAATGGTAGTAGTGTTAGGGGACTAGGACTTATTCCCCTAGCTAGAGGAGCAAGAGACTGCTGTTTCAGCTGGGTTGCTCTTCTTGAGGGTGGCTGGACAGACAGTTCCGTTATGTTTTGGCTTATTCAAATACAAAGAAGTCTCTTCTGCTTTAAAAAAAATGCTGTTTCTTCATGTTCAGAGAATGCTATTTTAATCCGTTCATATGCCTATGTAGTAACCTTTTTCACACATTCACTCTTCCTTTAGTACTGAAAAAGATGAGCTGCAAATCTCTGCACTGCTAATCAAAAGGTGTGGCAGAGGAGTTCCTGTAGCGTAGAACTATATAGCATCTGCATTCTGTGCATGCTTGTGCTGGTCTCCTGTAGTGCTTGCTATGCATGTCTCCAGAGCTGTGGGCAGGAGCCTACTTAGAAGATAATTGTGCTGTATATCTTTGTTTACAGGCAAAATATCCTTCTGCCTTAGAAAACATAAGTGGTCTAAATTACAGACCCATCTCCCTTCCTGTATGCTTCAAAATCTTTCTTTCCTCCCAAATAGAGAAATATGTCTAACTTACGCAAATACTCAATGTTATTCAAGCCCCTATCCGTCTTGGCTTATAGAATATACAGGACTTCTCAAATATACATAAGGGAGCAAGACTTAGGGGGCCTTGCTTCAAAGGAGGTCTAATGCAGTCAAGACTGAGTGACATCATTTGTAAGGGTGTCGGACTTCAAAGTGCCAAGTAGAAATTAGCTGGACAGCTGTCAGTCAGAACAGGCTTGTCTTAATGAGAAATGGTTTTCTGCTGAAGAGAAGAAGCTATTTAGTTGTTCCCTTAGATCTGTGCAGGGTGGGCTGCAGCTGTGGGCTAGAGCCAGGGCTGCGCTGGGCTCTTCTCGGTGGGAGCTGGGCTTGGGGTGGGCAGCAGCAGGGCTGGGAGGGGGGCTACAGAGGGGGCTGCAGCCACCCCAGATTTTGCTGTAGCCCCTCTCCCAGCGCCACCGCCACCTGCTTGGCATAACCCTAGCTCTTCCTGGTACGTGAGGTGGGGATGAGCTGGGGGTGCTCTGGGCGGGCTGTAGCAGTACTGGGAGCGGGGCTATGGCAAAATTTGTGGTGGTTGCTGCCTGGCCCAAGCCCAGCCCTCCACTGAGATGAGTCTGGTGCAGCCCTGGCTCTAGCCCACAGCTGCAAACTGCCCACCCCACACAGATCCAGGGGCCCTCCCAGGATGCATGCAGTGGCGGGAGCCCCCTACCCCAGAAATTGGATCAGTATTGGCTGATATACCTCCTTAAATATCAGCTAGCTATCAGTATCAGCCCCCAAAATCTCTATCGGTGCACCCCTACTCAACTCTGTTCCATCTGCACGCTCTGTCTAGTCTGCTCTTCCATATCTGAAAATGGAGTTTCTGTGCCTTATCCCTTGAGAATCTACTTTACTGAAAATTGGGGCCTTTCCCAAACCTGCTGAAGCCTGTGGAAAATACTTCTATTGCCTTCAGTAGGCTTCTGAAACACAATTGTCTGGATTTCAGAGGTATTGAGAAACACTAATGATGCTGACTAGATTTTAAAAAAAACCCCAAAAACCCAAGAACTTTATTCATGGAACATACAAACCTTTATTTAACCTTTTTTTTTGTGGGGGGAGGGAGGGGGACATATAGACCTAGCCTTACCATCCCACCTCAAGTTAGTGACAAATTTATCTGCCATCTTCCAGTTAATCACAGATGACCATTGCAGTTGTCACGGTGATCGTGTGTGCATGAGAAACAGGACTCCCTTAAAATATGTTTTCCAGTGTATGTTACATCAACATGGTGGCAATGCTGTGGTCGTGTATAAACTGACATGTGGCTGGAATTCCAGCCACGTGTCAGAATAAACTTGCAATATAAATGTAAATAAGTATTGGATGTTCTGTGGTGGTGTTTTTGGGTTCTTTTGTTTTAAATCATAACAAAAGA